GAATCTTCCATTTCTGTCAGGTGTTTGTCAGAGGCTCAGCTCACTTTAGAAGCCAGCTGTAAGCTAGCTGGGTCAGTGTCATGTACTATGCACATGTAAATAATGGGTGACTTGGTGACGGGATACCAGTCTTTGTGGAGTTATTTCAGTGGCGATGAGAGAAAAACACGCCCCTGGAGACATTCGTTCATAACAGTCGACTTTGAATTTGGGTAAACATTTCTGGCATCATTCTGCTTCGGGAGGCTTGACTCGTTTGACCCTGCTGTCGAAGACTGAGCCTTGTGTGTGGAAAGAATGCATTATTTTTTCTGGGCAAATGATATGAAAAGCAATGCGTAATTATACTGACAGCATGTGGACATGCAACTTGTTTGGTTATTAGGAGCCCTACTTTCCCTGAGGCACCAAAAACTAAAACTTTTCAAGAGTTGACAGATTTAGCTAAGGAATATTACTACCCCAAACCTCCTCGAATTCTGAGATGCTGTCAGTTTTACTCAAAAGTTCGAAAACCAGTAGAATCCATATAGAACAAAAACAAAGTTGCTGGAAAGCTCAGCAGGTCTGGCAGCATCTGTGAAGGAGAAAACAGAGTTAATGTTTCGGGTCTGGTGACCCTTCCTCAGAACTGAGAATGGGTCACTGGACCTGAAACATTAACTCTGTTTTCTCCTTCACAGATGATACCAGACCTGCAAAGCTTTTCCAGCAACTTTGTTTTTGTTCCTGATTTACAGCATCCGCAGTTTTGTTGGTTTTTATTTGGAATCCAAATAAAGATTTTTGACGAGGTTAAGACAACTGGCAGAGGAATGTGATTTTGGTTTAACCCTAAGTGAGATGCTGGAGACTGGTTATTATGTAGGATTAATGATGTGACCATGCAGAAGTGCCTAATAGCTGAAACTCAACTGGACTTCAAACAAGCACTTCAACTGGCTTTGTCATTTGAAAATGTGGCAAGTGGAGCTTATGAGTTATAGGGTATTCCAATGGAAGTGGACACTCTTGTCAGGTCAACTGAGCTTGGGGAACGCCACTTGATTGTAAGCAATTGCATAGCCTCACACAGGACATATCCTGAACAGAGGGACTTGAGGTCAGCCCACAGCAAAACCCCAAAACAAAACTCGGCCAAATAATTAACATTCTCTTGAGGATCATGGCCAGCAGACCATTGTAGTTGCTGCCGGTATACCAGCTCGATACAGCAAAAGAGTCCCGCTAGGTCCAAGTTGAGTAAGAGAACTCATAGGCTCATATCCAGGAGAGTACACACCCTGGAAAGTCCACTTACAACAGATTTGGCACAGTTAAATCGCTTAGCAACATCCAAATCAGAATGAATCAAAATAAACACCTTGCTAAATGGTGACCTGGTTCCAACGAAGGTCAATACCAGTAAAGCTGTACCAGTGATTGCCAAACCAGTCTTTACCAAAATTTGCTCTGGACTTCAATCCTTACATTTGCTAAGACCTCAGCCAGTCTGAGAACCTATACAGAGGAACCCCTACAGATTAACGGTACAACTTCGGTTCCGGTCTCTTAGGAAAAGCAGCTGGTTCGGTTACCACTAATTGTAGTAAAAGGCTTAGGCTGAAGTTTGACGGGGTGAAATTGGTTGGGAAAGATTCAACTTGATCGGCTGAATATTCTTCAATTAGAAATTGGCTGCCTGAGTGAAGTTCTATTTAATTACCCAGAAGGTTTGCAGGGAGGTTTACGGACTATAAAAGGTGCCAAAGCTACTTTACATGTGGACCAATAATCAAACCATGATTTTGCAAAGCCTGGCAGAGCCATTTGCCTTATGGGCAAAAGTAGAGGCAGAAATGAGGAGGCTGGAAAGCGAAGGAATCATCAAATCAATCTAATTAGTGGAATGGGCAGCAACGGTCGTACCAATTGTGAAGCCTGATGAGTTGGTTTGCCTTTGTGGTGAACTCAGACAAATGGTAAACTACTTTTCACAGCTGGATGGACACTCAATCCCTTGTATAGAGAACTTATTTGCAAGACTGGTGGTGGGCATGCCATTCACAAAACTGGACATGAGCCAAACGTACCTGTAATTGCAATTAGATAAGGATTCCCAGAAGTATGCTACAATTAATACCCATAAGGGTTTGTACCAATATATGAGACAGCCTTTTGGGATATCATCAGCCTGTGCCATTTTCCAACGGACAATAGAGAACATTTTACAAGGTCTGCTCCAGGCCGTCATTATTCTGGATGATATGCTAATAACCAGGAAGACCAATAAAGAGCATTTAGAGAACTTGGACATAGTGCTTTAATGTTTCTCCAAGGTGGGGGTATACCTTAGGAGGGAAAAGTGTGTGTTCCAGGCACCCCAGGTGACCTACATCAGCTACGGATTCGAAAAGACCAAGTTACATGAGTTGGAAGAAAAAGTGAGGATGATCAAAGATACCCTAGCTCCTACGTCTGTGCTGGAGCTTAGGCCTTTCCTTAGGTTGGTAAATTGTTATAGAAAATTCATATGTAACCAGGCCTCCATTCTGGCACTGTTACATTTGGCATTGAAGAAGGGTCAGCTTTGGAAAAGGTCTCGTAGCCAAGATGTAGCCTTTAGGGAAGTGAAGAAGCAGCAATCGTCGTCTAAGGTGTTGGTGCACAATGATCCAAAGCAAAATGCCATGTCTCCCTGTATGGTATTGGAGCAGTGTTGGCTCACTGGTGGCCCGGGCTTCCTGGGCTTTGGCTGATGCTAAACAAAGATACAACCAGATAGAGAAGGAAGATTTGGCAGTCATCTTAGGTGTGAGAAAGTTCCACCGATACCTTTACAGATCTGAATTTGTCATGGTCACAAACCACAGACCCTTCCTCGGGCTATTTAACGAAGCAAGGCGTTGCCATCCATAGCTTCCGGTTGAATTCAGTGGTGGACTCTTATTCTCATTGCGTACAATTACAAGTTGGAGCACTGTCTGGGATGCCAAGTAGCAAATGCGGATGCTTTCAGCCGCCTCCTACTGGTGGACACACCAACGGTGGTGCCACCACTGCAAGAGACTGTTCTGGTTTTAAATTTTCTGGACACCCTTCCAGTCACCGTTGACAATATCTGATTGTGGATACAAAAAGATCCCATCCTGGCAAATCTAAAACACCTGGCGGTGATGGGGGAAGCAAAAGGGCCATCACAACCAGAATGGAATCCCTTCTGGACCCGGCAAGATCAGATCACCATAGAGGATGATATGTTATTATGGGAAACAAGAGCGATTGTCCAGAGCAAAGGTCACTGCCAGATACTAGCTGAACTCCACAGGGGTCATCCAGGGGTTTCCAAAATGCTGATGATGGCAAGACATTATGTCCGGTGGCCAGGATTGGATGCCAACATAGCTGGTTGGGGAGGCAATGCCCAGAGTGCCAACAAAGACAATAATTGCCACCAGCAGCTCCTCCACATTCGTGGGTATGGCTGGGTAAACCCCGGACTTGGTTACACCTTGACTACGACTGTCCTTATATGAGCTCTATGTGGACGCCCATTCAAAATGGTTGGATAGGCATAGCTTTCATTCATCAAATACAGGGACAATGATTGAAAAGTTACCAGTATCTTTTGCAATGCATGGACTCCCAGAGGTGGTGGTCACAGACAGTGGGCCATCATTTACCAGCAGGGAATTTGGACACTTCCTAAAGTTAAATGACTTTTGGCATGTAAAGAAAGCTGCATACCATCCACTATCCAATGGTTGGGTGGAAAGAGCAGTCCAAATGTTGAAGGCAGGCTTAAAGAAACAGCTGACTACATCACTTGATACCAAGTATCCTGTTTGATTAAAGGACCAGCCATCACACAACTACAAAAATAGCTCCTGCAGAGTTGTTAATGGGAAAAAGACTCTATACCAGGTTACATCTGATCTTCCTGGATCTGGGGGATAGGGTGAAACAGCATCAGGAATACCAATGCGAGAGAATCAGTTTACTTTAGGAGATGAAGCTCAGCGTCGAAACATGGGAATGGCCCTGCATGGGTAAGAGGCATCATTGGCCTGAGGTCAGATCCCATAATATAAAAAGTTTAGTAAGAGGACTCAGTCCTAAACAAGCATGTGGACCAAATGAAACTGCAACTTCACAAACAGGGTAGGAACAAAACACACCTGGCCCCTCAGAATATTGATAAGGCCGTCAGAACCTGTGGGTTCTCCACTTCCGCCTCGCATCAAAGAATCCTGAGGATGAGATGGACATAGCAGGTGCTGCAGCCTTGATGCCACTACTGCCTAAAAAAGATGAGTTTAGGCCAAGATGTTCTGGGTGCAGGCGGTCTATCGTCTGGTACATGCTGCCAGTATCCATGTCATAGAGTTGGAGTAACTGGACCTGGCGTGAAAACGCCCCAGGAGAAGCTACAGGAAAAAGAACAGGCTTACCTCCCAGGACTTAGTTGGGGAAGGATTTAGTGATTGGAATGAAGTCAGATAGGTGCATTTCATAGAATACGAGTTCCCTGATTGAAGCTGTTAACCTGCTCTAATGAAGGAGTCCTGGCTGACATATATAGACAGGTGCTCAGCATACTCTAGGAGCTTGAGCTAGCTGGGTCAGTGTCATGTAGAGTGCACGAGTCAGCCTTTCTGCTCCTATGATGCTGCTTTAGCCTGCTGTGTTCATTCAGCTCTGCACCTTGTTGTCTCGGATTCTCCAGCATCTGCAGTTCCTACTATCTCTAGCTAAAGGGTGATTTGGTGATGCGATACTGGCCTTCATGGAGTTATTTCACATTGGTTTCCCAGTTAAGTGAGCTGACTCTTCCAATTCCAACTCCAGCACAGTTCTAACATTGCTAGTAGCCCCTTAGTGCCTTGTCCAAATTACCATTCTTTGTTCATGAGCTTGGAACAATGAATATAGTCCAACTATTTTCTCTTAACCTCAATGTACGGCAACTTATTTCATCCAAATGGGGAGAGTTGTGCATAATTACAGGCAGCATCACTTACATCTGCATCGTTCAAATAAATAAATCCAGGATCTTCCAAATATGGAGGTAACTTGATTTGACGACAATCATCTGCAAAATATTTTTTATATGCTCATTAGATGTGGTAATAATAGCTTGTGATGTACATACTGGAACTGAAACAAATGAGCAAGACTGAGCAAAGGTCCATAGAAGGGACATTCATCATTTATTCTCTGCAAAATAGCAAACTTCTCCCCATTAGAAAATGCCTGTGTCTCCTCCATCCTCATTTATGTATTTTAAATGCTTTGTAGAGTTAAAAGTAAAATCCTGACAAATAATAATGCAACTTATTTGCTTGGAACCTTTGATCAAGGCTTTAATATTTTGAAAAGAACAATTCTCAACAAGTTAAAATTCTAAACAAAAGTTTGCATTTTTTTGGAAATGTGGTCAGATTTCTAAAGACACTACAGTTTTTGGGACAGTGATTGAATGGGTTGACTGAATTTAGTATTATGACCATTGTAAACGCTTCTGGCAAGGCTTACATGGTAGCTTAAATGGGGCAAGTGTCAGAGGTTACCAATACCCACAGTAGCCCAGGCCAAACGGAATCAATGTTTTTAAGAATAAGGAAAAATAAAGATTCTTTGAAAGAAAATTGAAAGAAAGGAGCAGGAACTCATTCCCATAAAAGTGGGAGCCCGGAGATAGCTGGTCAAGATTTATATAACATATTATTATGTGTCACGATTCCAAATTGATGACAGTGAATGAGGAATACTTCAGTACACTGGAAGTCTACAGCTGTATTTTTAAAATGCATTGTGGTTTATAGAAGAAATTGTTGATATAATGAAAGTATATCAAATCTGATTCAGCAATAATAATTTCATGCCTGGATTTGAATTATTCTGTGACTGGTTTTGCATTAATTGGCATGTGATTGCCTTGATCCTTCCACATCAAGGGTCATTATAGAGGACTCTCTGTCACCCCCTTACGTTGACTACAGTTTAGTACATTTCAAAGGTGTAATCAAATTAACTGAATTCACAGCACAGTAGCCCCATGTCAAGTCGACAAATCTCTCACATTGGAGACACAGGTAAACTGTCAGAAATAGGTCACAATTCTAATCTGCAGAGCCAATTTATCAATTCTCCAAGAAATCTAGCTGTATCCATGTACTAAAATAAATAAACAAAAATAACATCTTAAGGAAATGTTGAAGAATAATACAAAACAATGTTTCCACAATTCTGTACTGTCCTCTAAATTTTCTTGAGCAGTAGACACATGAGTTAGTTATTGAAAAGACTGTCAGGCAAATAGGTAATTTTGAGAGCTTCAAAGGATATATGGTGTTCAAAACCTATTGATTCTCAGGTTTTTAGTTTGTTTCTTTTATTTGCTTTTCTCATTGTACTCTCAGTTGGGTCCTAGTTCATCAATTCACAAACTATTTACTGAAGGACAATACGGTCTTGGAATAGACTGCATTTTGTTTGTTTTGAATGCCAGTGCCTGCCACTATTTAGTACCCGTGGGAAACCAGCTACCGTTCCTGGAAAAAGGAATGCCGCCATTTAAATTTCAAATAGTCATCATGTCAGTTCCTACTATCTCATGTCATACCCTTTGGTAGCTTTACTCAAGACGTCATTGGTGGAGTTAGTTTGTGTGTGAAGAATGCACTTTGCTTTGATTTATTCTCATTTTGTGTCTCCTCTTCTAAATGCATTCACTCTGTGCTGAGGGTTGGTTTAGCAGTTTCACACCACACCAGCAGAGATAAAGCTGGGAGGGATTCAGGCTGACAAAGCCAGATCTCTAGGGTTCAGGACTAACACTTGGTATAATATTGAGCTTGATAATACAATTTCACTGGTCTTCCATTGTAACATCAGTTGACGTCCTGCTCCCACACTGCCATGTGCTTCATGCCCATACCCCTCATCAAGCTATGAAGCAGAAATCAACCAGGGATGAGTGATTTCAAATACATGAAGAACATAAAGAAGCTTATTCTCCTTATATGTGAGATTTAATTGTGATAAAGACAATAAGGGGTTTGATTAGATAAATAGTGAGAAACTATTGCTACTGGCAGGTGGGCTCGTTACTCAGAAACACAGATCTAAGGTAATTAAGCAAACCAACCAGAGAAAAGTTGTTTGTTTTTTAGGCAGCAAATTGTTGTAATCTGAAATTCACCATCTCAATGGTGACGGAGCCAAATTCTATAATAACTCTCAAAAGGGAATTGGATAAAGACTCTCAGGGAAAGGAATTTCATGGCAATGGAGAAAGAGCAGCCTTATGTGGTTAACTGGTGAGCCCTATTAAACACCTGATAAAAGCACAATGGGTCAACCAGGATCTTTCTGTGCTTCTTCATTCCATGGTCCTGTCTCATTAGTTTTGTGAAGGCCCTTAGTGATGTGGCATAACAAGCACTCTGAAGAACTGTATGATTAATGTTTTAACAAAGATCTGTAGCTCGGGTTGTGGTTGGTGTTGTTGGTTGGTTTGCTGAACTGACTGGTTTTCATGCAAATGTTTCATCTCCCTTCTAGGTGACATCATCATTGCTGTCTAGCCTCTATGTGATTCATTTTTTTGTTAAAATGAAATGCCACCTGAACCATGCCTTTTCTTTGCAGCTGATCAGATCTTTAGCTGGAACCTTTGGGGTGTATTTGCATTTTCTATTGCATGGAGCAGATGGGAGTCAAAGTTGTGGCACTAGCATTCGGCTGGCCCTTTGAAAGTGAAGTGCCCGCCCAGTGATCCTGCAAACTCCAGCAATAGATCAGTGTTCAAGGCACCAGTAGACATCATCTCAATTTAAAATGGCAGATTCACTAGTAATAGAAACTTGAAGCCCAATACATTCAACAGTGTCTCAAATAAATATTCTCTGCGTACTTACTTATAGTGATGTTTACATGTCTGCTTTCAGAACATCCTATTTTCTTCTTTGACATTTTGTGACAAGAAGACTTGTGCTCAAAGAAGCTCTGAGGAAACAAAAGTCCAGTTAAAATGTTCCATAAATATACAACCTTTGCCTGCTTCATTCGTTCTTCATTCTTCTCTATAACAGTGTTTCTTGAGGCACAACTTAATGCCTTCCTTTTAGGTGAGTTTTGGAATCAGGGGGGCGTTTAATCAGATGGAGGGTTGACAAGTGAGGCCTCTGCTGCCTTCCTGATTGAATCCAGTGCAGCATGACTACATGTCCACTTAAGGGTATCATATTGTTGCAATTGGCATTCAACAGGTAGTGGCCGGATCTTGTCAAGTGGGAAGCTCAAAAACAAACCCTTTCAGTGTGACCTGCAGGCTCCCAGGGAAGACATTCTCAATTGAAAAGCAGTCAGTGTCTGATCAAAGGACCTGGGACGAGGATGGGGGAGGGGGAGTGGGGAGGTTGAATGCATCTCAACTGCCCTTGCTGTTGAATCCCTGCCATCTCCTTGTGATAATCCCTGCCCTGTGCTTTCATTCTGCCCTCATATACCTTTGGCATGGAGTTTCTCAGCGATCCTGGTTCTCTCCTCGGTATATTGTGAGCAGCTGTTACTGCACCAACTGGCACTACATGTAAAGCAGAGCTGCTGGCCTCTGATTGGCTGCCAGTTCTCAGGTGAGATTCTCATAAGCCGGACCCCCTTCCCCCATGCTAGCTTAGTATGTAATTGGTACCAATGTGGGATAGGTCTTCGTCAAAGGAGGAGAGAAAATAGCTTTTGCCACCAATATGTTTGCTTATTAAATACTACACTTGCTGTGGGTATGCTTCGCTGACATCAATATCCATCAATGTTGTTGCAGTCATCCTTGCACTCACATACTAGTTGAACATGAAGGTTGGCCCATTAAATCATTTTATTACATAAAAGCTATTAAGTGACTTTCAAGGAAGTGGGTAAATAGACTTAAGGTAAATATGGCAGAACAGTCTTGAGGGGTAAATGGGTTACTGCTGTGTTTTCCCAGAACGTTGCCTATCCCCACTCATTCATCAGAAAGGTTGCATTTACATTGTAAACTATTCTGGATATTCACAGATAAAATCATAATTATTTTTAAGTTCACCACCAACATTACAAGAAGATTGTCCAACAAATCACATTGAAATTGAAAGATCATCTAATAAGTGTGAACAGATGATCTTACCAGTGATTAGGTATCTCTAAAATGGTTTAAATATATCCTTGAAACTGAAAGGTGGGCTGCCATTCTTGCTCATGTAGGTCAGAAAGTGCTAATCCAATGTATTTTCCTCACAGGCACCCGACTGTAGTTGCCATAGAGACTAAATTGCAGTAATTTTACCCTATTGTTGAGGACTTCTAAATGAAGCAAACACTCACAGAAATTTTGCTCTTATGTACAAGACTTAGAGTCATAGAGTAATAGAGCATGGAAACAGGCCCATCAGCCCAAACTGGTCCATGCTGACCATGGTGCTCACTCAGCTAGTTCCAATTGCCCGCATTTGGTCCACATCCCTCTAAACACTTCTCATCCATGCACCTATCCAAATGCTTTTTTAAATATTGCTATTATACTTGCCTCAACAACTTTCCATAAATGCACCACTCTCTCTGTGAAGAAGTTCCCCTCTCACCTTAAATTTGTGCCCTCTAGTTTTTAATTCCCCATCCCTGGGAAAAAGACAATATGCATTCATCCTATCTATGCCCCTCATTATTTTATACACTTTAATTAGGTAACCCTTCATTCTCCTACGTTCCAAGGAATAAAGTCCTATCCTGGCTAACATCTCCCTATAACGCAGGCTTACTAGTCCTGGCAACATCCTCCTAAATCTTCTTTGCACACTTTCCAGTTTAAATATATCTTTCCTGTAACAGGGTGACCAAAACTGTACACAATACTCTAAGTGCGGCCTCACCAACGACTTATACAACTGTAACATAACGTCCCAACTCCTGTACTCAATGCCTCGAACGAAGAAGGTCAGCATGCTAAATGCCTTCTTCATCACCCTGTCTACCTGTGACGCCACTTTCAATGAATTATGTACTTGTAGTCCGAGGTCCCTCTGTTCCACAACACTCCTCAGGACCTTACCATTTACTGTATAAGTCCTACCTTGGTTTGACTTTCCAAAATACAACACCTCACAATTATCTGCATTGAATTGCATTTGCCAATCCTCAGCCTGCTTCCCCATTTGATCAAGATCCTCTGTAATTTTTGATAACTTTCTTTGATATCAATGACACCTCCTAATTTTTTATCATCTGCAAACTTGCTAATCGTGCCTTGTACATTCACTTTCAGATCATTTATGTAAATAACAAATAACAAAGGTCCTAGCACTGACCCCTGTGGCACATCACTAATCACAGGCCTCCAATCTGAGAAACAACCTTCAACCACCACTCTCTGCTTCCTATCTTCGAGCCAATTTTGAATTCAATTAGCTAGCTTTCCCTGGATTCCATGCGACCTAACTTCCATGACTACCCTACCATGTGGGACCTTGTCAAAGGCCTTTCTAAGGTTCATATATAAACAACATCCATTGCCCTACCCTCATCGATCCTCTTGGTTTCCTCTTCGAAAAACTCTAAAAGATTTGTCAGACGTGACTTCCCGCGTACAAATCCATGCTGACTATCCAAATGTTGGTTGATCCTGTCCCTCAGTGTCCTGTCCAATAGCTTGCCTACCACTGACGTCAGGCTCACTGGCCTGTAGTTCCATGGCTTGTCTTTGCTACCTTTCTTAAACAATGGAACAACATTAGCCAACCTCCAGTCTTCTGGAACTTCACCAGCGGCTAAAGATGAAGCAAAAATCTCTGCAAGGGCCTCTGCAATTTCTTCCCTAACCTCCCACAATGTCTGAGGATGAACTTGATCAGGCCCAGGGGATTTATCCACCTTAATGCCCTTTAAGGGTGCAAACACCTCTTCTCTGGTAATGTATATGCTGTCCAAAACATGCCCATTTGTTTCCCTTAATTCCACAGCATCCATGATTCTCTCCTCAGTAAATGCTGAGGAGAACTATCCATTAAAAATCTCTCCCATCTACTGTGGCTCCACACAAAGACAGCCATGCTGATCTTTAAGGGGACCTATTCTCTCCCCAGCCACCCTCTTACACATAATATAGCAATAAAACCTCTTATAATGATATTTAACTTCATCTGCCAGAACCATCTCATACCCTCTTTTTGCTCTTCTGATTTCCCTCTTGAGTGTGCTCCTACACTTTTTACAGTCATCTAAGGATTCACTTGATTCCGAAAGCTTAAACCCAATGTATACCTTCTTCTTTTTCCTGACCGGAGCCTCAATATCCCTTGTCAGCCAGGGATTCGTAAACAGCTTTTCCCTTCACCCTAACAGGGACATACTGTCCCTGAATTCTTGATATCATACTTTTAAAAGCCTCCCTTTGCCAGGACATTTGATAAATCAAATGTACATGACTAGAATTGAATGCCCAAATGTGAAAGTGCCAATTAATGATTGTTCACTTAGAAAATACATTCAATACATGAATGTTTAGGCTAGCAATAACAATCACAAAACTATTAAACATTTCAACATATTAAAATGGGATTATATTGTTGAAATTTAATTCACGTGCTAGCAACAATCTACTTTCAATTCAAAGTTATTTAATTCCAGATATACAAAAATTCAATATCCAGCACTGAATTTCTATTTTGCTGTGTTATTTTATAGCTGAACTAGATTGGATTTTTTAAACCATAAATCTCACCTTAAATTATCAAAAGTAAACTAGAAAATACTTATATAATATAACAGAGCACTATTAGAGTAGCTACAATTTTTATACTGATGTGAAACTGGTCAATTATTCAGTTACATTCAATGGTTTTGTTGGAAAGAAATGACATGGACTGCAATAGATTCCCAAGCCAGTGACTAGTCTCAATAGCAAACTTCCAGACAGTATAAATGTTTGTCTTGTTGGTCGCAGATGAAATAGACAGTCTCAGCTCAGTGGGTAAAATTAGAACTAAATGGGTGACATCACTTGGAACTACAAGGGTGAGAAATAAGTGAAACAAATATCTCTTTCGTACAACAGGAATAGGGATACAGAAACACGATAAATAGAGTAGGACATTCAGCCCCTTTGGCATATACCACCACTACCACATCATGACTGGTCTGTGTATTAACTTGGTTTACCCACTTTGGTTACATAACCATAAATATATTTGTACAATAAAATCTCAATTTTGAAATTTACAACCAAAATATCTCAATGGCTTTTTGGTTAGTGAGATCACCCATGAACATCCTAGCTCTAATTTTAAGGATATGCCACCACCCCCTAACAACGCCCCCCAACCATTCAATGCTTCCCCTCAAAACAATCCACATCCCAATTCAAGGTTTCCCCAGCAGACAGAATAGCTTAATCTATCTATAAAATCCTTTAATCATTCTAAACATCTCAAATACATTATACACAAGGGAATACAAGTTAGCAACTTCTTCTCATAAGTTTGCCCTTTTAGGTATTTTTAATCAACCTGTTCAAAAATGTTATATCACAATTCTGGAGCAGGTGCGTCTTGAACCCAGGCGTCCCAGTCCAGGGGTTGGGAGACTACCACTGTATCTTAAGGGCCCCAAGTTTACCGTTTTATCGAAGCTGTTCAACTGGAAGTCAGCAGAGACAGATTGCCTGAGCAGCGTAGGTAAACTTTACTTTGTGCTGTATCTGACCAGGAAATTTTTGATGCCACATATAGATATCTGTAATGATTAAATATTCCTTTTCCATGGGAGTGACATTCCTAACTTTGAAGAATCCAAAATTTTGTCTGAATTAATATTCTCTATCAGTTATTGCAGATTCTGCTCCAGGTCATAAAACCTTGACTTTCTTTTTATTCATTCATTGATACGATGTGGGCATCACTTGCCATACCAGAATTTATTGCCATCCATAATTGTCCAGAACACTGTTAAGAGTCAACCACATTGCTGTGGGT